CAATTCAGTGACATTTAGTACATTACAGTGTTGTGCAACCGACCTTTCCGCTAGTTCTGAAACTTCATCACCCCAAGAGGAAACCCACACCCATCAGCAATCACTCCCATTCTTTTGCTCCCAGCCCCTGGCAACCCCTAATGTACTTTCCGCCTCTGTGGATTTACCTGTTCTGCCCATTTCCTATGAATGACATCATGTAACGTGACCTTTCGTGTCTGGCTTTTTTCCCCTTAGCATATTTTTGAGGGTTACCGTGTGGTAGCATGTGTTGGTACTACAGATCTTTTTTGACTTAGGATGGGGTTATGTCCTGATAAACTCATTGTAAAAAGCTGAAAATGCATGTGATACACCTAACCTTTTGAACATCATGACTTAGCCTTGTCTGCCTTACTCGTGCTCAGAACACTTACACCAGCCTACCTTTGGGCAAAATTGTCTTGCACAAAGCGTATTTTATAATAAAGTATTGAATAGCTCATGTAATTTATTGACTATTGCACTGAAAGTGAAAAACTGGCCAGTGAGTGTACCGGTGGTTTGTGATCGTGTGGTTGACTGGGAGTTGTGGCTCTCTGCTGCTGCCCAGCATCACGAGAGAGTATCATATCACTCGCCCGGGAAAAGATCAAAATTCAGTATTCAGAGTAGTTTCCATTGAATATGTATTGCTTTTGCACCAGCGTGAAGTCAAAAAAATCGTAAGTTGAACCGCTGTAAGTCAGAGACCGTCTGTACTTTTTCCTTTTTATGGCTGAATAATTTATATTTTTATTATGTGTTTTTTAAGTTGCTAGGAGACTTTTTTTAAATACTTGCGCTAACAGTGTATTTTATTTTGTTCGTTTGTTTTTTTAATGGAGGTACTGGGGATTGAACCCAGGCCCTTGTGCTTGTTAAGCACGCGCTCTACCGCTGAGCTATGCCCACCCAGACAGGAAAGTTTTGAAGGGAAAAAAAATTTCTAGAAAAAGCAACTTTGTTGGTCACTTAGCACCTAAGTGTTTTTGTCTACTAACAGCTTTATTAAACAAAAAATTAATGGATGTATAGTTGGTTTACAATGTTGTATTAATTTCTGGTGCACAGCATAGTGATTCAGTTATATATGTTCTTTTTCATGTTCTTTTTCATTATAGGCTCTTACAAGGTATTCAGTATAGTTCCCTGTGCTGTACAGTGGGACCTTGTTTATCTATTTTATATGCGATAGTTAGTATCTGCAAATCCCGAACTCCCAATTTATCCCTCTATCCCCCACCAACAGCTTTATTGAGTTATGAGTCACATACCATACATTTCAGCCGTTTAAAGTGTACAATTCAGTGTTTTTTGGTCTGTTCACAGAGTTTGCAGTCATCGCCACTGTCACTTTAAGATTTTCATCACCCATTAGCCATCTTGATCATGTTTTAGAATCTCCAGTGGTCAGTCCTTTTGAACTGGCTGTAGGGATTTAACTGGCTCTGATTTCCCACCACCTCACTTTCCCCACCTGTCGTTAGAGATGACATTGGCCGCTTAGGTAACGCTTCCTCCTTGCAGGCACTTCTCAGAAGTGTTTCATGTGCATTTCCTTGTTTAAGTCGTAGGACAACCCCATAGACTGGCTACCATTTTTGTCCCACGTTATAGATGAGGAAACTGATGATACTCCGAGAAGCTAAGAGGCCTGAGGCCCAGGTGGAGTTTGAACCCACAAAGTCTTAGCTTAACCACTGCATTGTACTGACAGGGGTGGCAGAGCTCCAGGCCTTCGGTGCTGACTTGCACCAGCCTCTAGGGCTGTGAGCCCCATCACCTAACCTGCCCAGCAAACCCCCTTCCTCAGGGGGCTTTGTGGATGGAAACTTGTGCAAGATTAGGGCAGGTAGAGGCCGGCCAGAAAGCAGGGAGGGCTTGGGTGTCTGTCTGTCCCCCCCAACAGCAGATTCTCCGCAGGCGGGCTTTCCAGAAAAGCTGAGCAGAGCCCACCTGTTCCAGGAGTCCTGGTAAGGAAGGAACACTGCCAAGGGCATGGTCAGAATTTCCAGCAAAGTTCAGGGATGCCCCCTGGTGGATCTGCACTCCCAACTCCAAAACAGAGCGGTTCTCCAAGGCTTCTCTGGGACACGGGGTGAGGAGCCAGCCACTGAAGGCGGGGATCATTTTTCAACCTAAGCATGTGATCAGGATTCAATATTGCATAGGGCAGGAGCGGGTGTCGGGATTAAGAACCTGGGCCCTGACATTAGATGGAATTGACTTCAAATCTCAGCTCTGCCTGCTTGCTAACTGAGCATTTTGGGGCAAGTTAGTTGTCTAAGCCTCAGTTTCTCATCCATCAAATGGGTACAGTTGAAGTTCTACCTCACAGAACTTGTCACACCATTAAGATAACCTGTGTAGAGAGCGTGCCTGTGCTGAAGGGCTCAGTAAATGTTAACTAGTCTAATGGGTAGAAGGTGTGTTCTGGGGCACTTGAGCCAATCACATCTCTGGTCCTTGGTTTCCTCATTTGTAAGATGGGGACAGTTCACCTAGCTTCTGGGATGGTTGTGAAAATTAGAAATTGAGTCCAAAAGATATTAACAGCCAAGTTCTCCTTTGCGCTCAAGGGATTACTTTTATTAGTCAGCTCCTTCTATGTGAAGGACACTGTGTTTATATTCAGCCAACACTGACCATCACCATGGGGCAGGCTCTGCATAGATCTGAGTGTGTAGCAGTGAATGAGATGGAGATGTGTTTGTATCTGCATTAAGGTTCCCTGAAGATTTTGTCTAGTTCAAGGGTCAGCAAACTTTCTCTGCAAAGAGCCAGAGAGTAAATATTGCAGGATTTGCTGGGCTGTCAGTGTGCGGCAAGTACTCAGCTCAGCCCTTGTAGCGTGGAAGCAGCCACAGGTGGTAGAGAACCAGCGAGGGCGGCTGTGGGCCGGTGAGAATTTATACGTGGACCCGGATGTTTGAATTGCATGTGATTTTCACATTGCAGAATATTCTTCTTTTTACTTTTCCTTCCTCTACCATTTAAAATGTAAAAACCAGGCCGCTCTCCCTTCTGAGTGAGATGGCCCACGCTCTGTCTATGGAGTGTGTACCTAATTTTACTGTAAACTAAGCACCCAGCTCCCACACCTTGTGGCCTTTCTCTTGCTTTTTGAAACAGCCTGCACTCTATGGAGTATGTATCTCTCTAAATAAATCTACTTTTACTCCAAAAAAAAAAGAAAAAAGTAAAAGCCATTCTTAGCTCGTGGGCTGTACAAAAATAGGCAGTAGGGTCGATTTGGCCCTCGAGCTGTCATTGGCTTGGGGTGGCTTTGAACAAGGTGATCACCTGCTTCTTGTTTGTTTCTTTCTCTCTTTTTTCATTTCTTTCTCTCCTCTCCTCTGGTTTGTACATTTCTAAGTCTCCATGGACTGTGTGTTTATCACTGGGTTAGTGGGGAGTTGGACTTCTCATTCCAACCACGATGCTCACCTTGAGTCCTGATGGACAGGAGATGCTAGCTTTCATCATAACCCACCGTGAATCTGGCAGTCTGTGCTGTGTCTGTTTCCCCCCATTTCAAAGTAGATCCACTCAGTTTGGTTGTTCCTTCCATCTTGGCTGAAGTTCTAAAGTCATTATTATAACCATTTTACAGGTGGGGAAGCAGAGTCCCCGAAAGGGTCATGATTTTCCACGAGGGTTTGTTGGTCAGTGGTGGCTCCAGGATTAGCACCAAGGTTCCCTGTCTCTTAAGTCCCTCTGGGAAGCAGTGAGAGGCACAGAGCTGGCTGCTGGGACGAAAGGCTGGACTTCCCTGACGAGGGACACGTACTCTCTTTTGCTCTGCAGTCGTGCATGCAGAAGTTATATGTCACATGTGGCACAGCACGGCCAACAGTCTGCGTTTATCTGTTCCTACTGTGTGCCAGGCTTTGTTCCAAATATTTGAGATAGAGCAGTGAGCAGGATGAACAAGACTCCTGCCCTCATGGTGACTACAGAGTAGTAGAGAAAAAAGACAACAAAGTAGACAAAGAAACATGATATTTAGGAATTGCGATTAGCTGGGGGACCCATTCATTTATGTACCAGACCCTGTGCCGAGCACTTTTGTAATCATCGTCGGATTTAATCACCATAACTAGCCTATCAGAAGAGACAGCAGGATGAAGACACAGAGGTTCAGAGAAGTCAAGTAACTTTCCAGCTCCGCAGACTAGGGAGGGGACTACTAAACAGTTCATTATCTATAGAGATAAGTACTTTCCTAGTGCTGCGAATAAACAGAAAGGCCTTGAGTGCCGCGCCAAAGGATTCTTCAGTAGGCAACAGGGAAGACAAATGAACTTACATAAAACAGAACAGACTCACAGACATAGAATATAGACTTGTGGTTGCCAGTGGGGAGTGGGGTGGGAAGGGATAAACTGGGAGTTTAAGATTTGCAGATACTGACTGCTATATATAAAATAGATAAACAAGTTTATACCGTATAGCACAGGGAACTATATTCAGTATCTTGTAGTAGCTCACAGTGAAAAAGAATATGAAAATGAATATATGTATATTCACGTGTGACTGAAGAGTTGTGCTATACACCTGAAGTTGACACAGCATTGTAAACTGAGTATACTTCAACTGAAAAAAAATGGGCAATGGGGAGCCATTGAAGGTTTGAAACAGAGGGAAGTCTCTGTTTTAGAAAGCTCACTCTGGCAGCAGTGTAGAGGAAGGTAGGAGGAAGTCATGTGGAGACCCATTCAGAGGCTTTTGGGGTCATCTTGGAGAGCAGTAATGGTGGAATGGATGAGAGTGGACACCGTGGTGGTGGAGGGGAGCAAACAGACTGGAGAACGATACGGTAAGGAAAACTGACAGGAAGAGAATTAAACAGACACGGCATAAGGGTGAAGCCTGTGGGGAGCGCTGGGGGAGGGGCAGGTTTTATTTTATAGGGGCTCCCAGGTAGGATCTGGACTCCCAGCTGGCAGGAGCCACCAGCGTGTGGATTCTACCCCCAGGCAGCCGGCGGCTGGTGGATGTGATGGACGTGAACACCCAGAAGGGCACGGAGATGAGCATGTCGCAGTTCGTGCGGTACTACGAGACGCCAGAGGCACAGCGGGACAAGCTGTACAACGTCATCAGCCTCGAGTTCAGCCACACCAAGCTGGAGCACTTGGTCAAGCGCCCCACCGTGGTAGGTCCTCCGCGGCGGTCCCCTCCCCGCCACCTCCCACCTCCTCTCCTTGCTCAAGGCCAGCCTGATGTGGGCCGGGGAGGGTGGGACGGGTTTTGGGAGCAGGAGGAGGGGGTTGAGGTGGCGATGGAGCCCAGCTTTAGGGCACCTGGAGACAGGAAGCGCTGATGGTGGTCTGGCTGAATTTCAGGTAGACCTGGTGGACTGGGTGGACAACATGTGGCCCCAGCACTTGAAGGAGAAGCAGACGGAAGCCACGAACGCCATTGCGGAAATGAAGTACCCGAAAGTGAAGAAGTAAGACTGCCTGGCTGTCGGTGGGAGCTGGGAGGGGGTGACTTTCAGCCTTGTGAGGGTGGGAAGAGAGCCCTGGCCGAGGCCACAGGCCTGCGGGAGCGCTGCTGGGGCATGAGGGATGGGGGTCCTTGGCGTGGGCAGGTTGGCCTCTTGCTTCCCTAGAATGCAGGGGATCAGCATTCTGCTCTGGGTCTGGAATCTCCATCCAGATGGTTCTTTGGCCTCCTTGCCTGCTCTGCCTGGGTCGATGTGATCTGAGAGGATGAGTAGTGGGAACCATTGCTGTGTGTGTGTCTGTGTGAACTTGTCAAACATTTGTCTTCTCCTCCAAGTGACAGCGTGTCCTGGGAGTGGATTTTTTAGGGGGACCTGCCCACCCTGGACACTTTCCTTTGGCTGAGGCCTGGGGAGGGGTCTGGTGTTCTTTTGCTTCTTGCTGTTGAGACCCCGGGACCTCTGATCCAAAGAATCTTTCCTGAACAAAGCCAGAGGCCACTTAGTCATCAGACATTCCTTAGACAGACAGACGGTGGCCCCTAAGTGGGAGGTTGGTGCTGGGTGGGGCAGGTGGCCACATCTAATTGCAGGGACATCATTACATGCGGCGTGACCTGAGACCAATTGTTGAACATGGGCAGAGGCGGCTACGAGCTCCTCTGTGTTCTAGGACTTGAGTGGTGGACCTTTAGGAAGGGGAAGTCACCTTGGGGCCCCTACCATCTCAGGCCCTCTGTGTTACCATCTCCAAAATGGGAAGGAGATGCTGGCTGTCCAGGCAGGACTGTTGCTCTGGGCTTCCTAGAAGAGTTGGCTCTGCCGGCTCTCAATCCATTAGCATCTCTCTGCTCAGTCCTGCTGCCAGGAGTGCCCCCAGGAGCTTAAAGGCTGTGAACTTTTCATTCACTCAGCCCTTCATTCAGTGCATATTGAATGCAAACTCCGGCGTCAGGCTTTGTAAGGGAGCTGGCCCAGGACTTCTCAAGGTTTTGCTTTCAAGCTCTCTGCTCCCCACCTTTAATTTCTTCTCAGGCATTTTTTTCTGCCCTCAAAACTGAAGCTGCCTTACACCCCTTGGATCTGGGCTGCATCAAAGGCAAAGACTAGGCTTAAGGTGGGGTTGGTAGGAGGGCTTTCCATTCTATTCCATTCCAGTTCGATCCCAGCCAAATTTATGGAGCCCCTGGGACAGGGAAGTAAAAGATGAACAGGACCAGGAGACCCTACCTTCTGGAGAATGGGCCGTTAACACGAGGGTATGGTGCAGCTCTCATCCCAGACAGAGGGAAGCAGGGAGAGGAGGAATCCTTGGCTGCCAGCATCAGGAAATCATCTTAGAGGGGATAGTGACCTGGGCTCTGAAGGACAGAGGAGATGGGAGGGAAGTGGGGAGGGATGGAGGTAGGTGAGTGCCAAGGGCTTCGATGGAATCATGAAGGCAGAGCTCAGGGAAAGAGTGTGGGACTCCGATTAGTTAGAGGCAGATCCTGACTCTCATTGATTGATTGATTCATTCATTCAGCATATGTATTGAACATCTGACTGGTGCTGGGTGCCAGGAATACAGCAGGGGAAAAAGCCAGGTGAGCTCCCTGCCCTAATGGAGCTTACAGTCTATTCAGGAGACAGATGCAAATCCAACAATCAGAGAAACAAATGGAAATTTGTGATGAGTCCATGAGGCAGAGAGACCCACAGTGCTGTGGGAGCTTAGAGGGTTCACTGGGTCAGGGAGGGCAGGGCAGGTGACTCCCAGCTGAGATCTAAAGGGGAAATGATCTATTTAAGTGAAGAGGGCTGAGAAGAGCTTTCCTGACTGTGTGCAGAGAGCCTGGGACAGTGTGGAGGGCTGGGGCTGGGGGGCGGGGGGCGAAGAACCTGCCGAAGAAAGCCAGTGGGGCTGAAACGGATCAAGGAGGGGCAGTGGTGCAGGATGGGGGTGACCAGGCTGTCACGGCCTGACCCCCCGTGATGAGGGGTCTGTATTTCTCCTAAGAGCAGTCAAAAAGCCTCTGAGAGTAAGCAGAAAAGGTCGTGTTCAGATTTGCATTCTGTGAATTCTCCTGCTGCTGTGTGGATTGGAGGAGGTGGGGGTGGACTGCTGGGAGGAGCCACTGCATCACCAAGATGAGGGCAAATGATGGGGCAGGGTTACAGCACAGCAGAGGACAAATGGGACATGTATTTAGGAAGATAAAATAACGTTGGGTGACGGATTTCAATTCATTAATGTCTATCTTGCCTCTCTGAGATATTCAGTACAGTCTTCACTTCATTGAAGGATGCCTTTAAATAGTAAGCTCTGTTAGTATATTGAGAATCCTATCTAATTACCCAAAAAAGGCTCACACACTATTTTCTAGGACCACATGTCTTTGACATATTGGTTGGATTATGTGGCAGATAGATTTACAAACCCCATCAGTGGCTGCGGGAACTTGTTACGGGATTTGAACCCTGTTAGGAAGGAAATTGTCAGCTTGGAAATAGTCCATTTGTTCGGCTGAAAAGAATGCTGATTTCAGTTAATAAGCAAAGTAAAAGTCCCTTGATGATGAAGTCCTCTGGGACCGTGGAATAGTTCTTTGGAATCTAATTAAAATGACACTTTCTAGAAATCACAGAGCTTCCATGCTGGAGGTGCCTGGAGAGTGGAGACAGCTGAAGGGTCACCTGAACCGAGGGTCTGCCGGACGGGAGGAATGTTACAGACCCATTACTGCCTTCTCCCTGGCTCCAGGTTTTATGTAGTTTGATCTTGGAGAAGGGGTTACGAATTTTAATGGGTTTTACCTCTGGTATTTAAGGTAAGGGGTGGTGACAGTTGTCACAGGGATAGTTGCAGCTTCATGGAAGACAAAAGATTTGTAGAGAGTATAGGATGCTAGTATGTTTGTTACGTTTTGCTGCATTCACTGAGTTTATATTCTGTGCAAGACACTATTCTAAGTAGTTGGTAGACTACGGTGAATAAACAGAGTCCTTCTCATGGAGCTTACATTCCGGCTGGGAGAGGAGACAGACCAGCAAACAAGTGAATAATATAATTTAGGCGGTGATAAGTGTCGTGAAAAAACATACGGGGAAGAGATGATGACAGGGTGGGCTGAATGAATATCCCCTGCACCATGCACTTCTGCCATGGCCTTCCTCTCTGTGGCTACTCTGCAGAAGTGTTTTGGCTGTACAGAAGTATTTGTCTTGGAAAGTTCTTTATAATCATACAAACAATGACAGCGATGTGGGAGTATTCATTGCTGTGTAACGGATTACCCTAAAACTTCACAACTTAAAAAAAAATTTTAGCAGCTTGAAAACAAGAAGCATCACCTCTTAGCTTCTGTAGGTCAGCAGTCTGGGTGTGGCTTAGGTGAGTGGTTCTGGCTTAGAGTCTCACAGGAGCTTGTGTCCAGACTTAGGCGAGGCTGTAGGCATCTGAAAGCGTGGCTGGGGCTGGAGGACTGACTTCTTCCAGATGGCGCACTCAATGGCTGTTGGCAGGAGGCCTCAGTTGTTGACTATGTGAGCCTGTCCATAGGGCTGCTCAAGTGTCCTGATGACATGTTGCTGCCCACTCCCCTCCCCAGGGAAGTGGTTTGAGAGAGCAAGGAGAAAGAAGCCACAGTGTCTTTTATAACCTAGTTTTGAAAGTCACATGCTGTTTACTTCTGCCATATTCTGTTGATTCAATGTGAGCCACTAAATCTAGCTCACACTCTAGGGAGAGGAATATGGCTCTGCCTCTGGAAGAGGGGCTCTCCAAGACTTTCTGGACACATTTTAAAACCTCCACAGTCTCCTTGGTCTATGACATGGGCACACCTTTCCCACTTAGGACTGTTGGGCATTTTAATGCATTCCAGAAAGAAATTAGCAAGCTTTTCCCTCCTCACCTGCTCCTGTCGCACCCTGAGGTGGCAGAAATGATGTTCACTGGTGTGCTGGAGACAGTACCATGGACTGAAAGAGCTCAGAAGCCCAGCCAGAAGGGGATCCCATAGAAAGCATACGTTTGGCCCCCCAGATAATTGAAAATTGACTGCATTTTTTTCTCCCCATGTACTTTCTGGGAGTGGCAGGGACTACAGGGGAAAATTTGGGGGTGCAAAGCTGCAACAGAGGATGAAAACAAGCTCTGGGATGAACGCATTTTGGGTCGGCCTCCGCCACCCACTGTGGCTATAGCAAGTCTCTCATCTCCTCTTACAGACTCAGTTTTCTCTCTACAAAGTGGGCTCCTTCCCCTCCCACGCCATGAGGAGTATGGGGCCTGCAGTGGATGTGAAATGTGGTTGGGACAAGGTGTTTCTCTACGTGGCCTCCTGCAGACACATAGGGCCTGCAGTTGCCACTGAAACCTGGCACCCCTGCGTTTCAGTCCACCCTCCCTGGCATTTGCATAGGGCATCTCTGCAACCCATAGTTACCTTTTCACTTTCATCAACCATGTTTGCTGGCATCATCAATGTTCATCCCTGTGTAATGTGTCACACAGGGAAACTGACCTTGAGAGGCTGCTAATGTCACCCATGGGCTATGCCCCGGACCCCAGGCCTCTGGATTCCTGGCTTTTCCCTTCTACCTCAGAAAGAACAAAGAATGTCAGCCTTCTCTGTGGTGCCATGTATGGACCCATGTATGCTACGTATTAGACACTTAGCATGCAAATCTCAACAATACTGGAAGCAAAGGTTACCACCCCTACTTTACAGACAAGGGAAGTGGAATTCATAGTGGTTCATTGCAGTAATGGGTGTAGCAGCCGAGTCTAAGACAGTAGGGCCTGGTGTGGCTTCTGGATAATTGGAGACGCAGGCTTTTGAAAAAAAAAAATCTTTTTTTTTAAACAGTGCTGGCCAAACCAGGCACATCTAGGGCCTGACTTGATCAGAAAGGGCCACCAGTTAGAAGGCCATGACTAGTTCAACAAATGGGGTTTTGAGTTCCAAAAGCGGGGAAGATTCACTCCAGTGGCACACAGCTGAGAAGAATTATAGGGCTGT